GCTCATGCACTTCAAACAATGGTAATTATTTTTGTCCATTCTATGCATATCATATTTAAGAAACATATTTTTAGCAATAGATATTAATCCTAATGCGATTAGGCACCAATTGGTGTGGGAATCACGGTTTGGTGGCCACTTATGATGCGCATCCAAACACAAACATATACGGTTGAGGATGGTTGAGAGTGAGTCCAATGAAAGATCATGAGTTTATAAGTGGAGAATACTATCTTCAATGGTATGAGGCATTTTGAGAAAGTCTATAGGAAAGCCATAAGAGTTTATGCTCGATATCATACCATTGTAGAGACTCGTGGTTCCTAACATGGTATCAGAGCCATGTGGAACAAAGAATTGTGGGCCTAAGATAAGATAGCTTAGAAAAAACTGAATGAATCAAGACCATATCTAAATGAGAGCGGTTCTAATAAACGATTCATTGACAACTTACCAATGTAAAGAACTGTTCTTAGTTCGACACATGATTCGCAACACACCCTCCCACATCTCGGACGGACCGATTCAGCTTACTTTTATAGCCCATAAAGCTCATTGAACGCCTTCAAACAACAACCAGCATCGACTCGAGCTTGTTTGGTAAAATTTAGAGGGTAACTTATGCTCCTAATACATAAGAAGCACATTATCTATGGAGTTTATAAATTGATTATACTTTTTGAATAAAGTTCAGTATATATAGGTTTAGTTTGTTTTACACGTTCTTTCAACATTTTGTAAAGGAATGCCTTAAGAATTGTCATTACATGAAGCTTTAAATTATGGACCACCAAGTATATTTAAGAGTTAAAAATGTGACAACTCTAAAAATTAATTTCAAACATTAATAATAGAAAATTTTCACTTAAAAGAAAAAAAAATGGTACGATTTAATACGTAAAGGGTTAACAAAATGGTACGAGTTTCAAGAAAATAACATTAGAATATCATTTAAAATGTACGATTCAGTAGCGTATGATATATATGTAAAATAAGAAATAGCAATAATGAGTATAAAAATATTCAATAAGCAATCTATTGGTAGGTTCTCAGTGAGACTTCTCATATTGAGGGCGGTCATTCACTGTCCTAATGTTAGCCAATTCCATAATTTGAGTTATTTTCTAGCCCTATAGGCTCTTTAAGTCACCGATCAAGGTTAGTCAGATTATTAAGTGCACTTAGCTTCTCATTTCCTACTTTGCATTATTGTCCTTCCTATGCATAAGTTGGAGTGCCTTCATAAATCTTGGACTCTAGGGCGAGTCTATCAAGTAGGAGGATTCACCACTCTCTATAGGTAACCTATTTGTCTCCTTATAATTCCTTACATACCTATTACTGAGTGCTAATCAAAAGCTCCCTTCACGATGCCTACCAAGTTCCATATTCCAATGTCATTCGAGGCGCTTAAATAGTGCAAGATGTCATGGTATGCTTGTTCGAGGTGTGTTGTTGGTGGTAGCATGTCTGATACCCTAGTCATGCTTGTCTAGGACGCGTTGTCAATCGCTGCATGCCTGTTCCAAACCCCTTTTACTTGCTTTCATGTTAGATAAACTCTTACTATTACTGTTGTGTCAATAGGGATGTATGACGGGTCACCAAAATAAAGTCTACGCTTTCTAGGGTTAAAATGCCCCAAAATGTACTATAAGATATGATTAGTTGTCAATTTTTCCTACCAAATTCGTTGTTGTTTAATCGTTTTTAAATTATAACATTGCTTTCTTTAAAAATGTTTTCAACACATTTTCTTACTCATGTTTTCTAAAACATTTCTCTCAAACGTGACCCGAGACTCGAGCATATATCGATATTGTTCACAAAATCTAAATTTCACTTGATTGGCATGTTCGCTAGGTTAGAATAAGTGTCGCACAATCACTGTCTCGCTGCAGCGAGAGTGCGATTGTGATACAAGGCAAGCTCTCCATGAAGCACAACCAGAGTTCCCTCAATAGTAGGGGTGTACACCCAACGCGACCCAACCTGAATTATAAGGGTTGGGTTGGGTTTAAAAGGACTTCGGGTTTCGATTGGGTTCATTTTTTGGAACGTTATCCTGTTTGGGCTGGGTTCGGTCCAAAATTCAAATTATTGGGACAACCCGACCCAACCCAAAAACCTTAAAAAAAAAGATTCAAGCCCACGCAGCCCCCTCATGAGTCATGTTGTATGACCCTGCCACGTGGCCACATGCACTCTTTAGGGTGTATACTTTCTCTCTCTCCTCTTCAATACTAGATTGAATTAATAATTGTAATGATGATTATCTATCTCATTGTCTCTTTGCTTTTCATCTTCATCGTTCTCATTTCACAGCAGTCATCTTCTCTGTTGACGTAGTTCTCATCTCATAGCAGACGTCGACGTCGCTTGCCAGTCACCTCTTTATTTCTCCGTTAGACTCTCTTCTCAGCTCCCATTTCTCCACTCGACCTTGTCGACGTCGTTGCCGATTGTCTCTTCGCTCGGATTTCCATTCCATTTCTGTCAAACTTCTACGCTCTGTGTTTTTTTTATCGGACTACTCTGCTCTGTGTTTCTCTTCGTCTCCTCTCTATGTTTATCGTCAGACTTCTCCGCTCGACGGTAGGTTGTTTCTCCACTTCTTGTCTATTCTCAGTTTAGAACAACCCGAACCCAACTAGGAAATAGAGGGTTGAGTTGGGTTGGGTTGTGAAAATTTTCGGGTTGCGTTGGGTTACCAATCCAAAAAAATCCCTCAACCCAACTTGACCCGGACCATGTACACCCCTACACAATGGTACCCTCTAATGTGTCACATGCTTTAAGTAGATGATGTCACATTCTTACATAATAGCTAGACCCTCACCCATCAAGGTAAGTTCACAATGAGAAGTTTGCACTCTAACCGTCTCTACATAGTACTAACCGACTCATAACATTATAATGAACTCTAAACATGACTCAAGGACGAAAGAAAGGTACAAAGTAAGCTAAGGTTCATAATTTAAGCCTACAGTAACTCTAGGTCACAAAGAATGAATTCCAAATGTAATCAAGGCATAAACATGTTTTCCAACATCCCATCATGCTTCTAGAGGGACATTAACGAGTAATAATTCACATTCATCATTCATCTATATTATGCCATAGTCCCACAACAAATCAATCAGAATCGATATTAGTGTAGCGGAAACCATAATTCATGTTTACGATCTAAATTGGTTAGAAATCCATTTCTATGCCCAATTTCAAGTCGATTCCTACGAGTGATTCTTTCAAAATAATTGAAATAATTACTCGATCTATCTTAGAAAATTGGTTAATTAGTGCGCACATGGTTCGTTTCCAACAAAGAGTTTTATTTTGGTTGTTTCTTGTGTTATATACCTTAATAGGTATCGATCCCTTATGCAATTTTTTAGAACTCTGCAAGACGAATCCAACAAGACAAGTTTAGCTCAATTTCGTGAAGAATCGAGTGAGATGTTGTTTGTTGAAGTTTCTGAAAAATCCAAAATCCGTACCTTCAAACTCAAACTTGATCTCCTCCATGCATAATTGTTAACCCTCGAGGTCTTCTCCTATGAGACTAGATTCATTAAAAACCTGTGATTTCTACGTGACACATTGAGGGTACGTCTATCTTTGACCCATTCGACTTTTGTTCAATTCCTGTTTGATTGTTTTCACTCTGATTTTGATATTAATCCTACTTTAAGTTGAATTAGAACTTACGAGAGAAATTTCAAAAGATTTGAAGCTCTTGACAAATGAAAAAACTAGATCGAGAAGACATGCAATATCCAGGGATGGCTAGGACGTGCTAACATGCAAGTATTCCTTATCTTAGTGGTTAGAAAATGCACGTTAAGTACTTTGGAAGGGCGTTTTTGGATGAATATATATTGTATATATGTTATGAAATAATTACCGTTATACCCCTAGGTTGAGATTTCCGAGAAGCATGTCGTGTTTATGTTTTATGCAAAGCTAGAAAGATAATATGCATAATTAGAATACAAGTTGTCAAGTACCGGTCCAATTGGTGAGTCTCCACTACCCCTTGGTTAGTTGGTGAGTCTCTGCTACCCATTTCACTTTGAGAGCCAAATTGTCGAGTACTAGTCCAATACCTATACCGTTGAACCAAACATGAGGTCAGTTAGAGTTATGTGATCTGATAGTTCATTTGGATTACTGTATACTGTGGATCCATCCTATGGGGGGACGTGAATCACACGGTAATCATTGAAACCGGCATGTACAAGGGGTCGCTCCCCCAATTTAAGGTGGCTATATGGCCCTATGGGATGATCCACCAACTAACCTCCCATCGATGATGAGAAGGCTAGCGCACACCATAATGTCTCTGCCAAAGAGAGTTCTATGAGGTAGCACCACACCGATTTCACATAGCATAGACAAAATAAGCTACCTAAATTAAAGAACATAAAAATAGTTCACCCTAAAGAAGGGACTTGTCGCTAGCAAATCCACGACATCAGAAAAATGTGAACCACCTTCTCCATATCCAAGGTGAGTCGTGAGCAGCTAAAGTACTATTCTGAAATTTCAAGCGCCATAGATGCTCAGATAGTAATAGAGACTAGGCTCAAACTTCCTAAAGCCCAAAGTAAATCCTGTGGATACCTATTAGAATAAGGATGTGATGAGAGTCTACACACGTAGGTTGCTTACTGAGTATTTTGATACTCACCCCTTTCTTTTTCAAGTGTTTACATGTTGTTGGTCAAAGTGGAGGAGTGTTCGATAGTTGCACAGTCACAGAGGGAGTCGTTTTGGAACGTCATTTCATTTTTACATTTTGAATCATATGTATTCTGAATTGTAATTGTATATCGAGCCCATTTCCCATTCTCTAATAAATTTTATGTTCCAATTTACAATAAATTCGTAAACTAGGGATAGCTATCGTGAGCTACCGCGAGACAAAAGATCTTATTTCTGAAGAGATTCGATTCGAATCGAAATAGATGGGGAGGGAGAGAGAGAGAGGTAGAATGTTGTAATGATAATAATGAAGTTGATTAGGATAAGATGATACAAATGTGATTGGACAATGCACACACCACACACTCATATTCTAATATTTTATTTACAAATGGAATTGATGGGCCCAATTAATCCCTCCAATTATGTCTCCCATTCAATTTCGAAAAAAGGGAAAATAAAACCACCCTTTCCTTCATTTGACCCATTCCAAGGGGTCTTAATTAATTAATCTTCTTAACTAATCCACATTTCTTAATCTAATCTAATCTAATCTAATCTAATCTAATCAATTAATTAATTACACTCAAACTATACTTAGTTTAACACACAACCCAATTCTTTTTTTTTTAAAAAAAAAGGAAAAATAGTGTTTCCCAAATAAGCCTAAGGATCCCACAGCGAATCATTCTGCATATTCTCCCACATTTCATCCTCTTTTGAATACTCCTCCATCACCAAACTCTCCGACGACATTTGCATCCACATCTTCGGCGAATCCAACGGCGACTCGTTAATCGCCTGAATTTGGCTTGGCGACAACCGCACTGTGACTGGGGCCAGTCCCAATCCACCAGTTCCACTTCTCTCAGGCACAACGGTCGGCGTTGTTCGTAATCGCAACGCTCCCTCCTGAGCAGCAAGGCGGATGTCATCAGAGGAAGAACCAAGAGGTAAGGGAAGAGAGTCAACAAGATTAGGGAAGTTGAGACGTGCGTCGCGACCACGGAAATGGTAGGCAGCAACGTCGTAGGCTGCCGCTGCCATCTCCGGGGTCTCGAAGCTGCCTAACCATATTCTCGTCTTCTTTCCCGGTTCGCGAATCTCGGACACCCATTTGCCCCATTTACGCTTGCGAACTCCTCGGTAGATCGACGTTGCTGCACCGTGTCTCCCCATCGAGCTTGGCTCTCCCATGCAACAGAAAAAAGAGACAAGATACAATGTAGTACAAAAGTTGTCGCTTTGTCTTGATGTTGTGTTATTTTTGAGTATTGGGAAATGAAGTGAGGGAGGTAAGAGTATATATAGAGAGGAAAAAAGATGAGAATTTGGATGAAACGTGGACACTTTCCATGACAAGCTCTAGAGTGAGCTTCCAAGTAGTTGCTTGAGCATGTTCATAAACTTTTAGATTCCTCCTAATTTTTTAAATTTTTTAAATTTTTTTAAAAAATTTTAAAATTATTAAAAAAAAAAAAAAAAAAAAAGGGATTTGAAGGGAAGAAAAATTAGAGGAGGAATTAGGGGGTTACTGTAAGGGACGCGTTTTTGCAATCAGGTGGCTAGAGTTTTGGAAATTTGTGAATTGACCCCACAATCTTTTTCATATTACAATACTGGATATCTAATTTTGAAATGGGAAGATGAAGAAAGTAATCCACACGGCATGGACTCAGTGGTTGTGATTATACTATTGGTGACAGTGATGTCATCTTAGCAAACTATAGAATACATTACCCACAATGTTTTTTTTTTTTTTTTTTTTTTTTTTTTTTTTTTTTTTTTTTTNNNNTTTTTTTTTTTTTTTTTTTTTTTTTTTTTTTTTTTTTTTTTTTTTTTTTTTGATGTATAGAGAAGTGTTTTGGTTTGGTAGTGTGTAGAATGGAGTATACTACAAGTAGGATATTCTTTGCGTACTCAATTTTTATTTATGCATCTTAAAACTTTCTTTATATTATTTAATTGGTTATCTTTTTATATTGATTCAATATTGAACGATATTTTTAAGCAGTCTAATCATGATTTTTAAGTAGTTGTATATTAATTAGTACATCATTTTCTCGACCCATCTCTCCCCGAACCCATTTTATGTAAGATCTTCCACCAAACAGTAGTAGATGATGAGTTGCCATTGCAGAACAACGCTCTCAACGTTAAGTAGATTCATTAGAAGAATCGGGTTGTATATGCATTATGGCAAGTCGATTCTCCAAACTTCTTTTTTCTTTTTCAAATCATTTTGAATTTCATTGCACTTTTTCAATTTGACGTTAGGAATAGAATGTCTAATTGGTTTTTGTGTTCTAGGATTCTTGTCACAAAAGGGATCGAAAATTTGAAAAAAAGTCGCAAAAAGTCAGGTGCGAATAGGAGCAAAAAGGAGAAAATCGCGTAAGAGGAAAAGAAAGCAGATTGAAGAAGAAATTAGGTCAAATTTAACTTCAGATACAAACCCTAGGCTCGAAATTCGAACCTTAGTCTCAGTAGCCCGAGCCATCGAAACCATGGCTCGAAGCAAAACCTATTGCAACTTTGGATGTCCAACCCAAATGTAACGACCTAGGCCCACCACTAGTAGATATTGTCTTCTTTAGGCTTTCCCTTTTGGGCTTCCCCCAAAGTTTTTAAAACGTGTGTGCTAGGAAGAGGTTTCTACACCCTTATAAAGGGTGTTACGTTCTCCTCTACAACCGATGTGAGATCTCACACCAGATGTGAAGCCCACAACTCATCAACAATGCCCTCAGCTCACACGCAGATGCTAGCCTAGTCAACCCAGCTATCCACATGCGACCAAGCCTGAATCCAGCTCCATCCCATGGATGTCTAACCCAACGACCCTTGGCTCACACACCCTCTAGACCTGTCATATCCACACAGAAATTTGAGCAACCTGTGCTTGTCTCCATTTGTCACGTGCAACGCACGTGCGAAGCCGCCTCAAAATGTGGCTCAAGTGCCATTCAATCGAGATATCCCCCTATAGCCAGTGTACGTCGGCTTGGCGACTACCCTCAACTCTAGCATAGCTTAAACGATTTATTCGGCTTGGATTTAAGTTTTTGGACACCGTCTTACCATTTTGGATCGTTATAGAGCTGTGCTTTGACATATTTGGTATCATTTAAGGTTAGTATTACTATTATTTAGCCAGTTTAAAGTGTTTGGAGCTAAAAAGTTAAATTAGTTGATGGATGAATTAATTTCCTTAAATTTTCCTAAAACGATGTCATAGAATTACATAGGTGGAGTTGGATTTCAAGGAGTAGGATCAGGCTAGCACAAAGTGTATTTAGTAACTCTGGCTTAGACCAACCAAGTAAACAAACTTATTGGTGGAATGCCTTTGGGGTTGGTTGGATGACCTGAGCTGATATAAACCAAGACAACTCAGTCATGCAATATGAGCTTCAAGTTATGCAATATGACTTGAGCTGATATAAACGGAGACATCTCAATCATGCAATATGAGGTTCAAGTTACAAATTTTAGGTGGATCATAATATAAAATTATGACGTTTCATTAATGTATTTTAAGACTTTTTATTTACACTAGGTTACATTTACATAGTGGTTAATTATGGTCATAAATTAGGAATATTACAACTTTTGAAATGTCTCATGTAATGTTAAGAGTTTTATTTTGAGGCTATATAAAACCATTTGTACTTTCGTTTAGTCAAAGACTAAGTTTATTTGCAATTTATGTAGTTTAGGCGGCATGTTTAAAATCATTCAAGCTTGACATGATCTTTTGTGAAGTGATTTGAATCTCAAACAAGCGATCTTACCTTGATATTTGATCGATAAGATAATTTGAGTCTTACTTTCCCTTGGGATGAAATCAAATTGATATAGGAGGTTTTAACATTCGTCAACTAGGGGTCTGTAGATCCAGGCGCTTATGACGGTTCTTAGATTGAACTCGCTAGAGTTTCCATATCATGAGTATTGTATAAATGACACATACACTATGACCTATCTACGTGTCATTTTGTGTACGTTATGATATGATATGTTATATTATGAATTTATATAATGCATATCCTTCTAATGTATCAACCCATGTATGTCCTAATACCATATTCATGTTATGCCTTTGAGACATTGTTGACCTTGTATGATAATAGTGAAAGATATATCATGAATACTTATGCATGTCTCATTGAAGAGTTATGTCGTGAAAAGAATGGAAGTATGATGTGCACCATAACCATGTATTATGATTTGAAATTATGAGATCTCATGCATGTTGTTTGTCATGTGCACAGGATACTTCCCCAATATGTTTATTTACACATACACCATGATATGATATACACTCATTTTTTCTATTGATTTCTGGCAACGTGAGCATGTGCTAGCCTATAGTTAGGTCTAGAGGTATGTATAGGAGCCCACCTAGTAAATCATGTGTGCATGATTGAACCATGTATAGTGAAGTACCACACACCGAACTCTATGCAATAAGAAAGTAAAGCTCAATGAATAGTCATGAAAAAATAGGTTCTACCGTGAACCACATGTGATTGCATTTTCTAACCTCAACAGTCTGATTATGAGTATTTTTAAATACTCAAACCATGTTTTCTATTTTTTAAAGGTAAAGATAAGACTCCTATGTATGGATGAAGACGTTAATTAAGGAAGCAATATAAATAAAGTTAGTATTTGACACTTACATTTCTTTTTAAAGCTTGATATGAGAAGTTATTTTGTTATTTTCATTTACGCTATTGTAATGATGTTATCTTTAAATTTAAAATGAATATATGAACGTTTAAGTTCATGTCAACATTTAAAGTTAATTATTAAAAAAGATTCTTTTTTTTTTTTTTTGCAGATATTATCATGACATGCATTTAGTGGCGACCTTATTTAAAAAAAAAAAAAAAAGTACGGTCGTTATAAGTAGTCTCGTCTTGCATGTTGTTATTTGGCTTATGTTCTAAGTTTTAATGTTTTTTTTTTTTTTTTTTTTATAATTCAATCTATATCATTTAAAGAGTATCAACTAGATCTTCAAATGTAATGTCGAGCTTGGCACCTACGTCAATTTCTTTAACTTCTCATTACGTACTGAACTTTTGAGATTTTATTGATGAATTTAAAGGCTAATTTTCAAAAAAGGAAAAAAAGAGTGAGATTTTAGCCTCAATGTTCCCTTAGATTTGCAAGATTTATTGGACGTGTCAAGAGTGATTCCTCACAAGTTACAATATAGTTGATTTAAAATTATGAGAAAAATACTTTGAGGAAGATGGATTAAAAATCTAAAAGTTTGACAAAGAAATTAAGTTGATTTGAGTTCTGTGCAAGAAGATATAAAAATGCAAAGAAATTAAAAAGGAAGAATTCTCATCGAAATCTAGGTTTTTCGCATAGGCTGAAGGAGATCGAGGGATGCGTGTCAAACCACATGGGCAAGGAAGACGTCCATAATGCCAACATGTGTTACAAACTAGGGGGAATAACTTGTCAACTTACCAATAGAAACACGTATCGCTAGCGAATCAGATCATCCGACCCGCACCACGACCCTAAAATGTGACTCGCATCTGTTTGACCAACTTGACCTGGCTTCCTTGACCCACAACTGTAAACACCGTTGTGCTCGTGGTATTCTCTTGTAGCGCGTGAGCGCACGTGGGGAAGTGCATGAATGACCTTTTTCCTCTGTCCTATCTTTATTTACTTGTTTTTTTTTTGTCTTGATTTCAATCTTAAATATATTTATCTCAATTAGGATGCTATATAGAATTTATAAAATTTCTGGTCACTTTGCTAGCAAGCAATTGAATTAGAGAAGGTATGCAACAATGAAGTAAGTAACCACATGGATTCTAGGAAGTAATAATAGTCAATCTTTTTACTAGCATAACTGTATTACTCCTCGCATGATGTTTTGGACTTTTTTCTACTACTTATACGTAATCGTGCTAATACAAAGGATGAAAAATTGTATATATGCGCTTGGGTGCTTGATAGATGTTATCACCCCATAGAGCATGTGTGACTGTATGCACAATTTATTGTACAATAACTCTAGGTGATTGAATGTGTGATTCTCCCTGTAGTAAAACAAAACTAGGGTTTGAACATCAGTTTAGCTAGACAATGACCTAGGTTGAAACGTCTCCAGTAGTCCGAGTACATTATAATCATGAGAGAGGATCAGAGGGTATAGCCCTTAGTGCTCCCAAACGAACCAGACTCGAAGAGTCGAAACCAAGAAACCTAGTGTCATGAATCCATCCCACAGTTACAAAACTACCTTAGGGACCTAGAAAACCA